GGTAACACTATATTCTTCAACTTGATCAACACAATATTAGTCACCCTGTATTGTTATCTGTAAATCATACTCACTAATGAGTTTTTCACAGAATTTCAGGACTCCGTGTGGGTAAACAAAGGCTGACATGTGTGATAAGGGGTATATATGTCAAGTGCTTCTTATCTTGAGCAGAAAAGTCATAAGATTATAATTATCCTAAAGTGACAACTGAGTTCGAATTTTGAAAATGAAAGAGGAATATGTTATTGGCGTGGTTGTGAGTTTAAAGTTTCAAACCATAGCTGCAGGAAAAAGTTAGGCGAGTGGTGATGCATCCCTCTCTTTCTTCATCTAAAACTAATTAATTACAAATGGTCCTGCGGAATGATATATAATACCCAATTATACGGTCATTACAATAAATTTCTTGGACCACGTACAGTCAAGCCAGTAAATTATATGAAATATATGTATGGTCCAGAACAGATTCATGATCACTCAGAGCATGTGTTCACCCATGTGTGCCTAAGCAATAGCAGAGCTGAAACGGGGATTTAGACGGTATCCATCACCTGTTATCACTTATTTCAGGACCATTTACGATTTATACTGAACATATATGTAGGCCGCACCCTTTTGATAATCCTATATATAACTTCACTTTGTAATTAATTAACTGCCCCGCAATGAATTAATATATATGACTCCATCTATAAATAGTCAGTCATTATGCTGATGGATTTTGATCCGATGCTTAGGGCAAGCAAATGTACTTAAGTGTTATGGCTGTCTTATTCTGCTGTGTCGCCGTCCAATCAAGCTTCATCACAATCACCATATTATCATTATCACTATCATATACAGTGGCATCAGTGTACCAATAGGAAATATGAATAGCATTGTTATCGTCTACGTTTTACAACCAATATTCTAGCTCTATCTTCTCAAAGTCACTATCATCACCATAACTTCACTGTCACATCCCTTAATTGCACCCCTTGCAAGGGCAACTTGTCTTCAAATAACTCGGTTTACCTAAATCCAGTAGGACAGAAAATCTCAATCCCCTCAATTATATGTGGACCAAGTTTGAAGTGGACAGATTGTGTCCATACAATTCAAAAGTATGAAATTTGATACTATCTTCTCTGGGCTGTATCTTTTTTAAACAGAAAATTCAAGGTATTAGTTTGAAGTTCGCTTTCGGTTTAATGCCCACATGTAATTAAGCTCTAGAAGAAGCTAAGTTAGATATGTAGTATTCAACCTAAATAGTAAGGCTCCATCCGGACAACATTAATTGATATTCATGTTTATAAAATCTCTTCCCAAGCAGTGCATTATCTAACTAAACGCCCAATTATTAATTAAATATGGCAATGTGGTTATTTCAGTTATATATATATAATTAAGGCACTAGACAGGTATGTGAACATAAATAATGAAAGTTTTAAGATGCAAAAATACCCACCAAGTGATTGGCCAGGAGCATCCAATAGTTTAAAGTGAAAAAAAGAGTAAAACTATTCATAATGTTACCTGAGTTGGTGCAAAAATGACTAAATCGTTAACTTTGCTCTAACGCCATTAGTTTTCAGTGTTAAATGTTGATTATGTTTGCTACGCATCAGTCTTTGCTGACGTGGACTAAAAATGGGACAAAAATAATGAAGTTATTGGTCAAAAGCACCCAGTAGACTAGAGTGATAAAAATGACAAAAATACTCATAACATTACTGAAGTTGGTACAATAGTAATCAATCTATTAAATCCTTTAAATGTTAACCGTTGAACTGACATTTAAGTAAAAGTTGACTATTTTTCACTTACGTAGATAAAAAATATTCTCAAGTTAATTTCTACGAAGGTTAATCGATAACATATCCCACCATATCTCATTTTTCGTTGATGTATCCTACCCCCTCCCTCCCTCTCCACTCATTTTTCTTGTCTGCAAAACTTAATATTCAATAAAATGAGATAGGTTGTACATAATCAAAGATTGAAACTAAGCACATCTCTTATGCTACCTACCTTAAGAATATTGTCACAATCATAAGCTTCATTCATGATAGGTTTAAAATTCTCAAATGATTTTCGCCACTGTTGCAAAGAAGCAAGTGATTTAACTTGATGTTTGGTCAAAATAACATTTTCCCACATGATGTTTATACAATGACTGTTCAACCTCTATAGAGTTTTACTTGCTAATATTTTTTATCCACATCAATAAAAAAATGATCAACTTTGACTTATGTGTCAACTAAATGTTAATATTTAGGGAATTTGATGAATTAATTATTTTTGCACCAACTTTAATAACATTATGTGTATTTTTATCATTTTTCTCACTTTAGGTTATTAGATGCTACTGACTGATGACTTTGTGAGTAGTTTTTCCCCCCTTTTGATCTACGTCAACAAAAACTAACACGTGGTGAACATAATCAACATTTAACATCAAAAACTAATGATATTAGAATAAATTAAAGTTAACAGTTTAGTCACTTTTGTACCAACTCTAGTAAAGTTATGAATATTTTTACTCTTTTTCTCACTTTAAGCTACTAGATACTCTTGACCGATCACTTGGTGGGTATTTTTATACTTTAACACTACAATGAAATTCTAATAACATAATTAGTGCTTCTTGAGCCTCCTGATGATAACTTGTCTTCTTGTTTTCTTTCATTGTATTTTGCTATAAAAAGTTGCGTTCTTTTAACAAAATAAGATAATTATTCGTGCTTGAAGAAATTTAATATTTTTTAATTTGATTTGTGTTGTGTTCCAAACAATACACTACTATTAGTCTCACATTGAAAAACCTCACAAAATAAATATAGTTTATATATGTCAAGGGCTCTACTACTTAACAAGTTAATTTTTTCAGATGAGCTCTCTCTTTAAACTAATACCCATAACACATTAACAATTACTTTAGGAAAACCCTTGATCTAACTATGAATAGTATCCAGCAAAATTCGCTGAAGTTCATTTTTCCTTTTTTTTTGGCATAATTCAATTACAGAGAGGTAGATGTGAAAGAGAATAATTGAAATTTTACCCTCAATCAATAAGCAAGTCAGTGAGAATTAATCGAGCAAGAGGGGCAATGTAAAATCTTAATGGGAGAAGGTGAAACATGCTCAGAAATCTTTTTGGCTGGTGACTATATATACAGACACCCGCGCATTAAAGATGATATGTTAATTATAAAACAAGAAAAGAAGAAGAAGATGGTCGGTAGACAAGAGGAATTAAGGACAACTTAACGATGAAATTAAGGAATGTCGTGGTTCAAGCAAATAATTAGTGGGCCAGCCCTCGCTGGTCCTCTTCAAAATTGTACATATATATATATATACCGGCAAAAAAAAAAAAAACTTTTGATGTTGATAGTGCTGGTGTAGGTTTGGGAATTGAGAGAGGATCAGTGATAACCATCTTCACGGAAGCTAAAGATTGTATTCATCGATGGGCTCACCAACTGAACGCGGTCGGAACAAAACACAAACCCTAACTAATTAACTCCCTCCATTATTGTCATTTTCAATAAATCCAAGCCAAGTTAATTGCATACATGGTACTTGACATTTAGACAACTATTCTTCATCATTTGCAATTAATTTATACCCTTCATTCTATACAATTAATTACCAAATTGGGTGAATGATTTAGAAACATATCTTTCAACTAATTTATAAAATAATTAATAATGGCTAAAGTATATCTTTAATCCTCTAACTTTACATTTGATTTTATTTAGATCCCTTAATTTTATAAAATATCTTTTCAGTCCTTTAACTTTAATATCATTAGTTTCATTACAAAAATTTTTTACATCAAACTTTTGAATACTGATAAAGCATTATCAAATTTTAACATATTTAATTCAATTTTTTTAAAACAATAATATAATGAAAAGATATCAAATTGAAATCTGATAAAAATTTAGAGGACCAAAAATATAATTTAGTCTAATTATAACAATATATTATCTTTTTTATTTAGGAGTATAAAATAATTTTTTCACCTAAAAGGCATGGTATTTTTTTTTTCTTTTACTACATTTCCTTCTATGTTCTGTTCCATTTGGCAGGACATAGACCTTAAAAGGATGTGTGTGTGGAACACTTTAACAAAAGGTTATAGTATAATTTGATACAGTGATTGCACCTGAAATACTGTAAGCATCAAAGGCTCCACGTCGAGACAAAAGGGTGAGAAGCTCGTGGTTATGCATCAATTAGTTCACTGCAAAATGGCTCAGTGAAAGCTCAGTGTGATGATTGATCAATAAGAGAAGATGTGACACACACACACACACACACTGTCCTTTCGTGCTCTCACTAGCTCCTAGCTCCTACTTTGAATATAATTAGAAACGGCTGGTCCCTACCCTGTTCTTCTTCTTCATCTTTGAATTCTGAGTTTAATTGCTGGTCCAAAAAAAAAAATTATGAGTTTAATTAAGTACACAGTTGCTTCATGTGCAGTAGACTTTAATTTCAACCCTAACTTGTCATGCATTTAATAGACCCACCCAGTAGTCCATCTATCTACGAATGGTTTTTGTGGACTTTGAAGAACCAAAGTTAGGTGGTCCGATCGATCAGATCAAGTTCTTTATGACGATGGAAAGATCCCTGGCAACGGGAGAGCACAACGACAAGTACGATTAAAGCACAAGTTAAAATACTGAGAGAAAAAACAAAAGAAGAGAAAAGAAAAGCTAACCCTGCACAAGTTTACAGAGATAAATGTAGATGGGCGCTCCATAGCTTTCGTATACATGGGAATTAGGACCTTTTCGTAGTCTAATGGACTTTTTCTTTTTATGCCATTGTTTTTTTTTCTTTGTCCATTATGTTTTTTTTTTTCATTAGAATAAGATGATGGTCCCCTAGCGAAGCTAGCTAGTTAGGCCAGGTCCAAGTTATAACTATAGTTATGTCAGCTCGCTCGATTGCATTTACCCAATAAGTACTTCAGATATAACCACAACCTTGGTCAAATTTGATGGAAACATGCACGTCACATAATTTCTACACACTCAGCACGCCATATATGTTAAAAGAGACTACGTGATATAACTATGAACCTCCTAACCCTCTCCCAGAAAAAAATACCTAGCTAACGACAATGTACAAGATATCCACATCTGTAGTAGGACATCACGATGACAAAACAAGCACGTAATTATAATTTCAACCCATGCCCACCAAGTTAAAAATGGGAAAAAATTACACAAGGATCAAAACTCTCAATTTGGCATACACTCAAACCTAACCCTTAGGTTTGTGAATGGATATATCAGATATATAGGAATCGCGAATCGCACGATATGGCTTCGTCTTATCAATATTCCCCTTCTTCCTTTTTGAGTGTGCTGAGGAGCTCAACTGAGAGGAGTGTGTGAATAATGGCACGTCGAATGAGAAGGGCCGCGTCCTTTATCTTTCTCTTTTTGGTCTTTGTTTCTTTTTGCAATGAAGAACATTAATCCGTCGTCGTGTCTATGTGGTGATGGGATAATGCAAGTGGAGAAGTGAGCTTGATAGCTGCTTTCCAGCAATGTTCAATGTCTTCTGCGATTCGCTTTGCGTCAATGGAAGCACCGAGGAGGCCACGTTTTGTGAAACCCACAGAATAGAGTCCGTTTTCACCTTTCCACCCATTCGGAAATGCTTTTCGTGGCAGCCCATCTTTCTCATTGAACATATCACTCTCCTGATCACAATAGATATAATTTCAGTTTCAACTCCACAATATATCATTAAAAATAATTAATCAGGTTATAATATTTACTACGCTGTGTGTTTGAGTGTGTGTGTGTGTGTGAGACAGAGAGAGAGTACTTTTGGGTGTGTGAATAAGGAGTCGTTAAATAATTTCAAGGAAAATGAAGGGTTAAGTGATGGTCCTTGCCTCTTTATTTTAATCGGATATTGGAGACACGATATATATCTTCCAATTTTTTGTAAAAAATTCAATTAAGGACCATTAAAAGAAATTTATATTAGTCAAAAATCACTTGTTGTCAAAAATTAAATAGATACTTATTGATTTGGTTAGTCTTTTATCAATAAGCATCGATTCAAGTTTTAATAACAACTCATTTTAAATTAAAAATAATTCATTCAGGTTTGTTTTTCATTTGTGTTTTGATAATTGATCCTTAACTGATATAAATTTTTTCTAACAATCCTTGATTGCTATTTTTTCTTAAAAAAATTGCAAAACTTGAAAACATAAAATAATTAAGAAAACTCAGGAAGGTTAATTGAGAGTATATATAGATAGAGAGGCTTATTAGGGTGTACGTTATATTTTAATGTAGATAATTATGTAGCATATATATAGAAAAAGAACACACATATAGACTACAGTAAACTTTATTACATATACATATATACAATGTCTCAATCATTTTGTGTCGCTTTTTTTATAAAAAATATTTGAGTGTCGTCTGTAGAGTATCTATCTTTGTAAATTATGCACACGTATCCCAGCAAGGAATGGATTAAATTCAGTGGGATCAAAAAGTAAAAGAGTGTGAAGTGTATGGAAGCTCATAGATAATATTTGAAAACCCAACCCACCCCCTGTCTTCCTCTCTTGGTCTATTTCATATACTGAGTGGAAAACCTTAGGAGGTTAAATGTAAGGATTTTTTTTGGCTGAAGTTAATGGCAAGGATTTGGATTCGTAATTTTATTTAGATATTTATCAGATTCTCGGAGGACATGCATGGCAAGTGAAATTTTTTACGGTTCAACATTATATTTATAGTTATTTTTTCTTTTTTTAAAATAAATCTCCACAAGTTTTAGTTTTTATAGGAAATAATTTTACCTAATTAAGCAAAATATTAATTAATTGAAAGCCCTTTGTAGTTTAGCCCTCAAGAAAAACGTTTCAATATCAGTTACCTAACATTCCCTTGGCTTCTACTTCGATATTCCCAGTATATATTCAAACATAAAAAGAGCCAAAACCACATACACGCCAGACACAGAACAAAAAGGAATCACCTTTAACCAAGAGGGTACATTACTTTTGTAACCAGTTGCCAGAATGATGGCATCGAACATCTCTACTTTACCATCAACAAACTCCACTGCATGATCAGCTAGTCGTGAAATTCCCCGGCAAACCTGTTTATATATATTCCACAAGTGAAAAATGTCGGAGATCAAATACAAAGAAAGAGATAGCATATAATTTGCTTTTTGATTTCTTTTCGTGTTGAAACCATCTTCACTTCAAAGGAAAAGTCCCATTATCAGGTTCGATTATGACAAGAAAACAGAATGATTATAAGAACAAGAAAACAGAATAATTATAAGAAGCCTTATTCTAACCTTAATTTTTCCACATTTGATCTGAGCGAGTGTGCCAACATCCAAAACTGGTGTCTTGCCGTTTAAGTTTTTGAGCTCTAGAGGGCCAGCTTTGGGTCGATTAAGTCCGTATTGAGCTGTGTCCCCAAGCATGAGACGTGACATCAGAAGCAAAAACCGATCCACAATTCTTATCGGGAACCACTTCAGCAGACACATCGATAAACCAAAAGTAGATTTCCCAAACATCTGCTGAGGCAGGATATGCACCTGCAGACCACGAAAGAGAAATAAAAAATTGTAAGCATGGCACGAGGGCTAATCACAATCATGTTTTCAAATCAGTTTTCAAATACTTCAGAAAACCCTGACAGTAGAGTTAAAGATCTTGAGATGCTAGTACGAGCAGGTGCACATGCATACGGATTCCAAGAAAAGTGTGAGTCCGATCCACATGTTTAATTATATAAAACCCTTTGAGAGCTATTCATATAATAATACTCTGAGTTTAAGTGTATAAGCTCACCGTGTCTCTAACCACAAGGGAAGGGCGAGCATTATGATCGCAGAGGTCCAAGCAGACTTCCATACCAGAATTCCCACAACCAACCACCAGAACTTTTTTCCCAAAAAACTCACTGCCTCTCTTATACGAGCTACTGTGTATTACAGGTCCTGAGAAATCATCCATGCCTTCAATTTGAGGCACTACGGCCTCTGCATTCTCTCCTGTGGCCACTATGAGCCATTGACCGACATATTCTGTCATCTCCTTTTTCAATCCCTTGGTCTTGACTCTCCAGAAACCAAATCTGTAATCAAATTCTGCGCTGAGTACTGTGTTGCTGAAGGCTGGTTTGATGCCAAAGTGAAGAGCGTAGGCATTCAAGTAGGCAAGAAACTGCTGTTTGGTGGGATAGGAAGGGAAGTTTCTGGGAAACGGCAGGAGAGGGAGCTGGCAGAATTTTTTGGGGAGGTGAAGGCAGAGGCGATCGTAGGTCTTAAATTCCCACATTGAAGCTAAGCAATCGGACCTTTCGAGGATGAGACTTGGGATTCCTTTGTGTTTAAGACAAGCTGCTACTGCTAAGCCAGATGGACCAGCACCCACTATAACTGGTCCACGAACCCACACTCTTTTAACCATCGTCTTTACCATTTGAGCATCATAATCGTGCACTCTTTTGCCTTCTATCTCCTTCAAGTACTCCTCCATCGCCTGCCAGAAAATCACTCACGACAAGCCACACACAGGGTAAAGGGTGTGAAGTTACTAGTTAGCAGAATTCAAAGCCTGCCAATTAAGATGGCCATGCTTGATTCTTTGAAGAAATCAGCTATGGGGTTTCTGGGTTGGGAATATAGAGTGTTCCGACGGCTTGGATTGATAAAATGAAATGAAGTCAGAATTTAAAGCTTCGGTTGTGTTCAGTGGAGGAGAGAGCGGGAAATTAGTAAGGCAACGGTGAAGGAACTAAAACACAGACGGAGCTACACCTATTATATGCAGAAAGCTAGCAAGTTAGTTCGATGCTATTTGACAAGCGATTTTGAAAGGTGTTGGGTTTAGCGAGTGTGTACATATTTATATATGAATTGGTCAGTTTGTGGACTGGAGCGTTGAAGGGTTTTGCTTGTGTGGGACATGTTTATGTTAGCAGTAATTGCTAACATTGACCAACAACAACCTTTCATCTACCCAAAATAACATATAGACACTCCATTAGTGAGAGAACACAGGTCCAAATCTATAGCTAAAAGGACAACAATTCCATTTGATTGCAGTATAAATGTAGAAAGAGACTTGTAAACACTTATTTAAAGGCTCTCAATGTACCACTCATGATGCTCATCGAGAAACACTAAGAGATAAAGCAGTGAAAATTATGAGATGGGATATATAGCAGTTATATATGTACACCAAGAATTTAATGTTGCGGAGTGCAACCAGTATTATTTACCACGAGCTTCTTTCTTTAAATTACTCTTATTATACCAATGTTCAAATTAATATGAATTAATTAAACTTTACTTAAATTCTTTACGTACTCATTTCTATCTCCTTTTTTTTTTTTATAACTGAAATGCTTAATGATTACCTAGAATTACAGTGCTCTCATTTTGTCGTCAATAAATGCATTGACAAACAATTAATTTAAGGTGGGTCAGAAAAGAACCAACTCTACTGGCTGTATAGAAATTGAAGGGCTTTTAAAACCATAATATATACTCCCTCCATTAAAAAATATAAAGTATTTTTTTAAGAGTTGAATGTTCAAAAATATAAAATATTTTTAGTCTTTTGAGGTATAATCATTACCTTTTTTTTAAGTGTCTCAATTAATAATAATTTTTTATTTATTATAGGGTATTTAATAGGGGTAAATATAAAAAGATAGGGTTAGTTAAAAAATAAGTAACTACTTTATTGAGAAATAAGATTTAGTTAAAAATGTCTTATACTTTTTAATGGAGGGAATATACTTTTTTTACCAGAATAATATATATACTTGCGAAAAGCATTTTATTAAGGTTCCAAATATTTTTAGACCACACACATATATATATCTGCTCTTTTTCGCACTGTTTGAAATTATGACTACGTGATGATGAACTGTTCCTTAGTCTCATAGTTCTGTTGTTCAATCCCACAGGGTAAATAAATTTAGTCTTCTTTAATCACAAGAAAATGAATTTAGTCACGCCTAACCAGGAAGAAAATTCAAGGAAAAAAAATGAGGAGAAGAGGAATTAAGAGAGATGTGTATGATCAGCTGGCCTCCTCCTTACATGTTATAATGTATTTATATAGTCCTCAAAAGCCTATTAAACAACGTTTCTAAATTGCAATCTCCCAAGATTTAGGAAAATACAAAAAAATAAAAATTATGAAAGTAATATTTTCAGCTAGGATTCTCGCGCAATAAATCACTGGGCTCGTTTCCTAAAGATTTGCAAGTCAAAAATGTTGCTTTGAGTTCCTCTATCTTAAATTATAAAACATTTTTAGATAAAATTTTACATACTAATAAATCTCATTAAATACACTTAATAATCTTATTTTTTTAAATAAAAATATAAACTTTTAAAAATATCTATCATTTAATATGTTAAAAAGAGAAGAGATGGGGAATTAATTATAAAAATAAAAAAATAATATTGAAATAAGCCTATGTAATAATAAAATCTTAATCTTCTCAAAGTATTTTATATTTTAAAATGTCAATTTTTTAAAAAAATATCTTATAATTTGAGATGAAGGTTGTAGTATAGCTCTAATCCATCTGGAAGTGTGTGCCCCATTCTAATCTTCGCTTTGGACTTCACTAGTAAAGTCAAAAGACTAAAATTAATCGAAGGAAACATGCGAATTCACGCTTTTACTGAATATTACTTAAAGGAGCGAGCATTCATACGTGATCCAGGTGATTGCAAGGGTAAAGAGAAAATCTAGCTACTACCCAAAAAAAAAAAAAAAAACCCCGTTCAATCCCAATGACTATATTTCCCTTGAGAATATTTAAAAGATTTTTTCTCACTTAGATATATCAATAATAATACAATGATGGATTTACGGGCACAATGTCGCCGCCATCTAGCCATGGCTAATTAACCTATATCTAAAACTATACAAAAAAGTAGGTACATTCATGATCTCAAGAACTTATATCTTGCAAGCTAATTAACCCACACTTAAGTATCTATCAAAACTTGCAGAATGCCCTGGCAAAAAGGTTGGATTATTAATTATTAGGTTAGACGTAAATAGTTCGGTGTATCAATGTGATCAAGCTACATGTAAAGACCTAATTCAAATTGAACACGTATGGAAGTTGGATTAGAGATTTTGCTCCAACAACTAGCCTGCCTTCCCAGCACATTTGCCATGTTAATTTATGAGTATTCTTGAAGGATGCTTGGATAAACAAGTAGAGTAGGGACTCCATCAAAGCCTTGAGATTCGTGCTTAGTGAATATTCACCAAAGTCTAAAACCATCCACTCATAGCTGTTATTGTAGTATTAAAAACCAATCCAAGTTTAACGGTCAAACTAGTAAACTAGTTAATCTAGTAAGAGTTTTGAATGAATTGATCGGGTTATTTATTTTATATTTTTTGTCATGGATTGACGGGTTATTTATTTTATATTTTTTGTCAAAACATTGTTTTAAATTTTATGCTTTAATAGCTCTTTTTTGGTAAATTATATATGGTTTATATATAAATATTTACTAATAAATTAATAACTTTTTTAAATATTACTTTTTTCAGGGTTATATATATTAATTAAATTATATTATTTTAATCATAATTGGGTTAACCTGAATTTATTCATCATGCATAAGATACGGTGATCACATTGCTGCAAAGTGTTGGCAAGTTAATTAATTAAAAAGTGATCATAAATATAATTAAGTGCATGGGGTAGACTATATATTATATAAATTGAGCAACTTTCCTTGAAGTCAACTGAAAAACAGCAGAACTGCAGAGGCCCTTGCTTTAGGTTAAAGGAGCATAGTATTATATTAACAGCCACATGTAATTAAACTATACTACATCAGAGGAATAGTTTATGAATTAAATTTAGCTGTGGCACCTCAGTTCAGTCACCGTCAATTTGAATTGGAAGGGCACAGATCGAGGCACCATAATATATATATATATATATATATAAATCACTCTCTGCGTCAACTTCTTTACATATGTGTGTGCTGTCAAAAGGCTACATATATAGAGTAGTGTATATATACCTAGCTACTCGAGGGTTTACAAAGCTGCAAGAACTCTTTTTCCTAAGCCTATGAGGCGCATTTGATGGGGATGTGCGTCAGTTTTAGTTGCCTTTTAACTATTTTGGGAGTATTTCGCTAGCATTGCTCATCTTAAATTAACGTGTGTTTGTGTGTATTGGCACTACAAATATGATCGATTGGGGCTCACTGGAAGATATATAATAATCCCCAGAAGAGTCTACGATCTAGCATATCGCTAGCCTTTACAAGTACTTAATTTAGTATGCTGATTGATGGTCGCTTCTAGGGTTCTTTTTACTTATTCGTTAATTTGTTTAATACACTTTCATCGTCAACCGTTGAAGCAAAAATATTACGGAATTTTTATCAAAGTTTATTTTCTACGGTGTCGTCCATATGGACCCTCCACTGTATTTAAAAAAAGGGAAACGAAATAAAAGGATTGGATTTGCTTACTCATTACTTTGCTCGAGAATGTCAAAAATGTTACACGCGCCAAGCTTTATTCTTTTACGGAGGATCTCATGCTATGCCATTTCCAACCATTCTCATTTTATCACTCTTTAAATATGTAATATATTAATACGCACTTCTTACACACACAAATTAACACACATTCATGGTCAGGGCTGAGAAAAGAAAAGAACATAAAGCATCTGAAATAAACAGAAACAGCAAATGATAAGTCAGGTAAAGCTGCATGCTTATGACTTCCAAACAAAAGATTCCTCATTGCACAAATTGTTTACATTTTTCATCGCCAGAAATGCTGGCCACTGGCTAGATTATAGCTGTGTGCTTCTATTCACTAATCACTGCTTGATTCAATAGTTGTCCTGTGGTGACTACTTTTTGAATAAGGAGGACAAAACATAAATTAGGCGTTTGGAGGAATTATTTTGTAATGCGGCTAAAAGGAGAGGCTTATGTCACAGGGCTAGTCTTTCGACCCGTGCGGCACTTAGATAATCTTCATTGGAAGTTGCTAAGTTAGCCTAACTCGTATGAAAGGAGGATGCTTGGCTAAGTAGAGGAAAGAGAAAGCTTGAAGGCAAAGGAGAGTAGAGAGAGTTTGGAGAATGTGAGAGTTCTATTGCTTACAGAACTCAAGGATGGTTTACAAATGAGGAGGGGTGAGGTATTTATAGGCCTCCCCTTGGATCTTGAATGTTCCCACCTCCTTAATGGACGGTGGAGATTAAATCTATCCTACGGTTACAATTGATTCTCTAGAATTCTCTTAACAAATATCTAGATATTTAAATAGAAGAATCTAGAGACAATATTAAAATATTGAGGCTAGAGTTGTGTAGGCTTCTCTAGAATGTTCTTGCACTCTCTAGCACTCTTAAGGTTAGCTGGGAGCCTTCTGGAGGGTTTTGGAGCATTCCAGACCTCTTTAACCTTGTGGAAAATGACGAAACGTGACATTTTCCCCCACTTGATTTCGCGACGCCCTCGTCGCGCCTTCCTCCTTGTAGCGTTCGATTTGGTCAGTGAACTACCACAGGAGGTCTTCACGTTCCCAACTAGCTTCAAAGTCTGGTTGACCCTTCCACTTGATTAAATACTCAGTATAGTTGGGAACTCCTCTCTTTCTGATCACCCTGTCGGCAAGGATTTCTTCTATCTCCTTGTTGTACTCAGTGACGACCGCTGTCAGTGCTCTCTTAGAGATACCTCGAGATGGATCTTCTTCATCTCTATAGTATTTCTTCAAGAGACTAACATGGACGACAGGATGAATCTTAAGCTTGGGAGGGAGTTGTACCTGGT